CTCTCTCTCTCTCTCTCTCTCTCTCTCTCTCTCTCTCTCTCTCTCTCTCTCTCTCTCTCTCTCTCTCTCTCTCTCTCTCGTTTTCTTCTTGCAGATACAGACGGCGACGACCTCCTCCGCAATTCAGCTATGGCGGACTTCGTCTTCAACGGCGGCGCACTTCAGCTATAGTGCCCCACCTGGCGCGCGTCTCTGACCTGCGGCAACGGCGATGGCGTATGGGATAGCGGGTACCAGCTCTAATCAATGCAACCAGACTCGCTTTCTTTCACACTTCACATGCATGTAAACAAGTAGCACAACAAACCGGCGACAAGCGCCCACTCAAAGCTCAGAGATATGGTAACCCAGAACATAGTTCAAATACAATCTCGCTTCTGATGGCTATGGCGCGTCAGCACCTGTACAACTCCCTATTCGTCCCTGCGTCCTACTCTGCTGTTCACACACACTCAACTTAGGATCACCCTGGATATCCCACACGCGACACACTGTACACACGCATGCACACACTCCACTCTTCTCCTAGCTATGGCGGCTATGGCCGCTACTACCTCTACCGCTATGACTAAGTTCTCCTCCGGCCCACTTCGCCTTCGGGCATATTGCAGACCACCTTGCACAAGTTGTTGTGGCAGCGCTTCCGCATGGCTTACGCAGGAATGAATGAATGGCTTGGCGCTGCCTCTTGATTTATACTTTTGTAACTCGTTGATCTGCCCCTTTCCCATGCCCATGGTGCACACAGTCCCATACGGTACTTGCTTGACTGGACTAGGACTGATCGGGACTGGTACCGCTGACTCAGCAAGGATGGACTTCACCACTTGCCCACTTGCCTCTGTCTAGATGTGAGCCAACTTCGAAAGGCCACTACTGGGACCTTCCGGAAGTCTGTAGTTCTGGCCTTTTGAATACTGTAGCAGCTACGACCTTGACCTTTCAGGACTGTAGCAGCTACGACCTTGACCTTTCAGAAGTCTTATAGATACGACTTCTAGAACTCCCTAAGACCTCTATCCGACAGGTCTACAGATCGAACCCCTACAACCTACGGACCCTATGACAGGCTATCGACTGTTACGAATACACAGGTCACGGGTTCAACTCTCGGGGTCGACGCAGGTAATGTACACAGGTAAGGCAAAGTCTAGGGATCGAGCCCCGGGATCTGCATTCGCTACCGCTAGCAGGTGAATACCGTTTCACATGCATCAAAGTTACTCCCTTGTGTGAGTAAAGAGATGTTTTCGACACCCAGATCTATGATTCCCCCTGATATGGATGGTAAGTATGATGTGGATACGATTGTTGGGGAAGATGTTTACAGATCTGGGCACAGGGGTAGACCAGAACGACAATATATGGTCAGATTTGCCTATTAGGAACCTACGGAAGATCGCTGGTTTACAAGAGATGAACTAATAGAAACAGCACCGCATATTGTGTCCTATTATGAAAGAGCTAGAATAGGAGTTAACATAATAGATAGATAAAATTGGTAATTTTCTCAGAGGACCTCAAAATTAGGCCGGCGAGAGTGAAAGGCCTTCCACGATTCAGGCCCCAAATTCGGGTCACAGGGTCAGAGGCCCTGGCCAAGAAAGACCGAATTAGTCAAATTAGAAAAGTCACAGTCGGGTACCTCAGCAGTCCAGTCCAACAGGCACCCAACAAAAAGTCACATCTCAGGGGCAAAAGTCACGTCTCATAGTGAAAAGTCATATTGAAGAGTCACATCCCACGAGTAAAAGGGCAGTCCCATAGGCAAGAGTCGTGTGCAATGACTTGCTGATTTCTGCTGCCGAGTTTGACAGCGAGGCTGTACACTAACCCAGTAGGTTAGATTCGTAATTTTATTTGGCTGAGGGCTAACCGAGAGACCTGCCTGTAAGGAAATTCGTGAGGGACAGATCTGCAAATCCGGGGAAATACAGGCCCGGTACTAACCACACTAGGACACACAGGCCCTAAGCGGCCTATACTGTTAGACGGTCCGATAGCCTATAGCCGGGTCCGGTAGAGGCCGAGAGGCCGAAACAGCAACTGTACTGGTCGGTCAGTCAGTCCGGTCTAGGTCTAGGGAGTCTATAGATAGGCTAGGCCCGTCGGTTCAGGACTTTTGGCAGTTCATTTCTCGCGAGCAGCATTGGAGAAGCCAAGGAAGCTGGTGGCGGTACCTGTCTACAGGCGGCATGCTGGGACGCACCGCAACAACAGCCATAGCCGGCCCTCTCTGAGTCTGCCATAGCTGGGGCATCCTCAGCGCAGCTACCCCTGGGGGTATCTGCGTATGGCCGGGCTGTATTGAGGCTCTACAGTGGTGATTCGTGGGTGGTGGCAGCCATAGCTGCCTGTTCCTTCGTTAGAGTTGTTCCTCGGCACTGAAGACTTCATCGCAGGACCTGTTCTTCATCAGGGTGGTTGGCGCTGGCCTCTGGAAGGGTGTCCTGATGCAGTGCTACTAACTGGGTGTAGGATAGAGAGTGGGGTGTGAGTTCTGAGTGTGGCGAGATACTGGAACAAACTCTGTTACGATAATTGTGTGAGTGGTTCATCATCAGTGACAATTTCAATTGTGATCTTCGCAGGTTCTTTCTTGTGATTGGTTGTTGGGAGTTGTGTCAGAGAGTGAGAAACACTGTGTGTCTTCTCCCCTGCTGTGCATAATTGTCTTCCACTGTTTATCCTCACCTGTGTGCAGTGTGGACTCTGTCTCTTCTCTCCCCTTCTCTTATGCATGTATGGGAATGTGTGAGATTGTCTGTGTGTGAGTGGCGAGAAGATCCGTCATACAACCAAGTTCATAATAGTTGGTATCGGAGCGAGATTGGAATTGGAGCACTGAGGGTTGAGCGCACTGAGGCATCTTCTTCATCCTGGCGATATACTGGCGAGAGTTTCATGGCGATTCATCTTCCCCAGTACTAAGTCAGCCGGGAAGAAGACTTGCAGCGGTGAATTCAAGTGTTAAGTGGTTGCACTGAACAAGCGCACTGAGCCTGTCAGGGCGCTTGGCAAGAAGTGGCGAATACAGGGCTAATTCGCCATAGCCAACCTTGAGGGTGATACAACGAGTTACCCCAGAGTGGCGAATTATCCCTGAGGACATCAGGGAACCCTGAGCGGCATCATCCCTGGGTTGCGCTGAGGGAGATTGACCTACCATAGCAATCTCCAGGAAGAATAACCCCATCCGGGGCTATTTTTAGCATCAGCGGCCACCTGGCACTGTGGGGAGACATTTTGGAGTTGGCGAATTGGGTGCCACAGGACCAGATACAGGGTATCTGGAGTAAAGGGGTGCAGCGCCACAGGATCCTGAAGAGGATCAACAAGTTTGAAGCAGTTCTGTGCGTGGGATTGTCTGGGAGAAGCTCTGGAGGAAATTGGCGAGATCAGGGTATCATCAGCCATAGCCAGATCTTCATCATCACCTGCAAGATTCTCTGCAAGTGAGTCCGTTCCATGCACCTACCTGTATTGCGATCCAGACAGTAGTAGTTTAGTGAAAGATAATGGTCTATCTGTCTGTCAGTGACTGGATATGAAAATCGCAGACTGCATGACAGCCATAGCCATCTCTCCCCCTACCTCCCTCTGCTCATATCTCATCATCTGTTGACTCTTTACAGTCCAAACTTGTCCTGTGACAGTTATACTGTATTGCGATTGTCCTGGGATGTTCAAACAGTGAATTCTGCATTGGAAAAGTAGTGATACTGGGAATTGTTGTTTGCGCTGAGTCTCTTTTTAGCCTGTGCTACCTAGGGTCAGTCATAACTTCAATTCTGTCAGTCAGAATTCCGTTTTGTCAGTCCCCAATAAATCGCAAAGTGAAAACAGTCAGTACTGTCAAATCGCAGAGTTGGATTTCTAGTATTTCACTGGATACAGTGAAAACTGTGATTCGCCATACCCTAGGGTATGGCCGCCAGAGTCATCAGGGTCTGAAATTGAGTATGAGATAGGTTACAGGGTAACTGTCTGCATCGCTTGTGGTATTTGATCTCTCTGTGTCTGTACTAACCATTTCTATCATTCCCACTGATTACACTTGTTTTCTAGTGGACACTGGAACTTCTAGTGGCTCTCTGGAAGACTAGTGGAGTGATTGTGTTACTTCCAGTGTGGTTCGAGGTCAGTAAAAGGAAATCGTGTGACTGATTTTGCTGGACTTACAGTCTATCTGACACCTGACCCCAGAGACACCCTTCTAACCCCAAACTGTTGATTGCCTATTCACCCACCTACTCCAGTGTTGAGTGCTGCAGCGATTCCAGGGTATCTGCGGGAATCTGTGTATCGCTGCAATTCTTTCTGCTGTTATTTTATTTTTGGTTTTTATTTGAACTGGGAAAATGTCGGATCAGGGGAATGAGCAGCAGCCACAGGTAGAGGTTGTGGTGAAGGCAGAGGGCGAACAACCTTCTGCCTCCACTGCACCCTCTCCACCTCTGACTGCTACTCAGAGGCTGAAGAAGGAGGCAGAAGAGCAGCTCAAGCTGCAACAGGCCAGAGTAGCTGAATTGGCACGGCAGGAGGCTGCTGAGCTAGAGGCTGCAACAGATCACTCCAGAAGAGAGTATCTGTTGCAGCAGCTAGAGAAGTCGCTCACTGATGATCGGTGCTCCCAGGTCACCAAGCACATGGCTGAGATGATCCTGTTGGAGCACAAGATCCCCAACTCCCAGTTCACAAACCGGGATGACCGTTTTGTGCGGCTGGAGCGTCGGGTTGACGAGCTGTCAGCTCAGCAGTTCAGGATCCTGGACTCTATCCAGGGCTTGTCTGCTCAGCTGGCAGCCGCCAAGCTGATCACTCCTCAGCTCCCTCTGCTGAAACCCAAATCCTCTCCTCCTCCTTCACAACCTTCTTCCCCTCATTCATCCCATGCTGGATCTGCACATTCCTCCCGGTCATCTACTCCTTCCCAAAAGGCCTCAGTAAAGGCCACCTATGCTGCTGTGACTGCAGCAGACAGAGGTCCCAAGATCCCTGCTCCCAACAAGTTCAGGGGCGATGACCGCAAGACTGATGTTGGGGACTGGGCTGCTGGGACCAGAGCCTACTTGAGGGGCTTTGTCTGCGTAGAACAGACCAAGGTGGGGACTGTTTTGGGGCTGCTGGAAGGGCCTGCACTGAAGTGGGCCACCTCAACTTCCAGCAGTCTGCAGCAGTCCATGGAGGACTGGGCCTTTGGGTTGGGGGTAGACAGACTTCTGCAGGCCCTGGAGGACCGGTTTGCGGACAAGGAGCGGGCCCGCAAGGCTGCTGACAGGATTGCTCGCCTGGGACAGCAGCGGTACAGCGGCACCTTACAGGCCTTGTTTGCTGAGTTCGAGCAGCTCACCTCCACCCCTGGGCTGGTCATGGCACCTGATGATATGTTAACCAGCTTTTGCAGGGCCGCGCCTGAGAAGTTTGCTGTTGCACTCTACAACGCTGGGTACAAGGGCTGGAGGTCCTTTGGTCGTGCAGCCCTGGAAATGGAGGCCAAGCTCCATGTCCAGGCCCCAACCTCTGACAGGAGGAAGAGTGCCTTCCCTAGAGGCAGCAGAAGGGGAAAGGCAGCCCTTACTCATGTGGGATATGCCTCAGGATCAGATACCGATTCTCAGCCTGATGCGCCTTCAGGTGGGACCGGATCTGCTGCTGAGACAGATGTTGCAGCAGTGGTGACTCAGGCTGTGTTGGGAGCTCTGCAGTCGCAGAGAAAGTTCTCCATCCCCACAGCCTCAGCCACTACCAAGGGGAAGGATAAGGGACGTCGTCCTTCCTCTTCCCAGCGCCCTAACCTGCCTAGTGACCCTCTCAATCCCTCCACACTCCCCTGGCATGACCTCAAGATCCAGGAGGGAGTCGGGAGAAGAAGAAAGGAGAAGGGGGTCTGCCTGAGATGTGAGGGACAACACTTCTTAAAGGACTTCCCTTACATGCCAGGCCCGGGTCAGTCAAAAAACTGAAACTGACCCTGGGGACTGTAGTTCCCCCCAGTGTTGCACCTTCATCTGCTCAGGTAGGTGAATCTGCAGCTGTTTCAGTTGAGGTTGTTTGTGATGATGTGTGTTTGGGGACTGCGCGGGCAGCATCCTTCTGCTATGAGGATCCTGACCCGGATCAGGACCCGGGGCAGGATGAGCTTCAGGCCAGTGCTGCCTTCTTCTTCCACTTGAAAGGGCAGAAGAAGAAGGGTCTGTCTGAACTCATCATGCTTCGGCCACTGATCAACCGCACCAGGATCACTGGGCTTTTGGACTGCGGAGCCACCCGGAACTTCATATCTCCCAGTGCAGTTAAAAAGCTGCATCTGGGTATGAAAGTTCAGCAACTGCAGCAGCCGCTGCAAGTGCGGATTGGTGACTCTACAGTGATCAGCATCAGGGAGAAGGTCAAAGGCATTCTTGTGACCTTTGACACTGCTGGGAAAGTCAGACATAGTCTGAACTTTTATGTCTTCCCTGAGTTGCCCTTTGATTTGGTGTTCTCCATGCAGTGGTTAAGGGCAGTCAACCCTAGGATCGACTGGTAGATCCCTAGAGTTGAGCTACCAGACAGCCAGGGGGTGTACCAGCAATGCATGATTGCTGCTGATCACCACCCTAAGACCTCTTGCTACTGCCTGAGAGCGAGGGAGTTTCATGCCCTCTCTCGCCAGTACCACCATGAGTGTCTGTTCATTGCTCTGGTCAAGCAAACAGACGCTCCCCCTGTTTCCTGTCCTCCTGAGGTACAGCAGGTAGTGGACCAGTATGCAGATCTGATGCAGGAGCCCTTTGGATTACCCAACCGGCCAACCAAGCATCACATCGAGCTGCTGCCTGGAGCGGTCCCTCCCAAGGGCCGCATCTACAGGATGTCCCCTGCTGAGCTTGAGGAGCTCAGTAAGCAGCTTGAGACCCTGACCAGCAAAGGCTGGATCAGACCCAGCACATCTGAATTCGGTGCACCTGTTCTCTTTGTGCCCAAAGGGAACGGCGAATTCAGGATGTGCATTGACTACAGGGGTCTCAATAAAATCACTAGGAAGAGTACTGAGCCACTTCCTAGGATCGATGACCTCCTGGACATGGTGCAGGGCTGCACAGTGTTCAGCAAAGTCGACCTCAAATCTGGCTACCACCAGATTGAGATGGCTGCGGAGGATGTCTACAAGACAACCTTCAAGACCAGGTATGGGACATACGAGTTCCTGGTCATGCCATTTGGACTTTGCAATGCCCCAGGCACCTTCCAGACTGAGATGCACCGCATCTTCAGGCCTTACCTGGACAAGTTCATGGTTGTCTACCTGGATGACATCCTGGTATTCAGAAAAACTGCCAGGGAACATGCGGAGCACTTGGCTCTAGTTCTTCAGTCGTTACGCGACAGCCAGTATAAGATCAACAGAGAGAAGTCCTCTTTTGGAGTTCCCTCTGTCATCTACCTGGGTCACGTAATCTCTGGAGATGGCCTGGCTCCTGAAGCAGCCAAGATTGCTGCTATTCAGGAGTGCCTCAGCCTCAGACAGTGAGGGATGTCCGGTCTTTCATGGGTTTGGCCTCCTACTACAGAAAGTTTGTCAGGAACTTTTCTGCAGTGGCTGCGCCCCTGACTAACCTAACAAAGAAAGACACTCCCTTTCTTTGGTCCCTCCACTGTCAGCTGGCCTTCACGCGACTCAAGAAGGCCTTGACTCGTGCGCCGGTACTGAAGTTACCTGACCCCACTCTGTTGTTCATCCTGACTACTGACGCCAGTCAGTATGGCATTGGGGCAGTTCTTCAGCAGGATGATGGGAATGGTCTACGGCCTGTAGAGTTTATGAGTAAGAAGATCAAGACTCAAAAGCTCCAGGACTCTACCTACGAGAAAGAGTTGTATGCTCTTGTCTGGGCCCTGAAGCATTGGAAGCACTTTCTCCTGGGCAGGCACTTCAAGATCTTCTCAGATCACTCCACCCTACAGTGGATGAAGTCCCATGGAGAGTTGAACGATAAACTGGCACGGTACATTAAGTTCATAGACCTGTTTGACTTTGAACTGAAACACAAGAAGGGCTGCTACAACAAGGTAGCAGATGCCCTCTCTCGTAGGCCTGACTCTTTTGCTCTGATCTCCTCTACTCACTCCTTTGGAGAGGGGACCCGTTAGACCATTGCTCGTCTACTGCCTCAGGACGAGACTTTTGGACCCATTGTCAGGAATCTGCAAGCAGATCCTAGCTCTGAACCAGGCTATGCTCTAAGTTCAGACCTGCTGTACACCTGCAGTAGGGGTGAGGAGCGCTTGTGCATTCCTCAGGACCAACGGCTCAAGACACTGCTGATGTCAGAGTGTCATGATGCCCGTGGACACTTCGGGTTCCTRAAGTCTTATGCAGCCCTGTCGCAGCGCTTCTTCTGGAAGGAGATGCGGAGTGAGATGCTGCGCTATGTGGACACCTGTGAGCTCTGCCAAAGGAACAAGGTTCAGCGGAAACCTCCTTTGGGACTGCTCAAACCCTTACCCATACCTGATGGACCTGCCCAATCTGTGTCGATAGACTTCACAGATTTAGGCAAGACCACCCCTCGTGGCATGCGTCAGGTTATGGTCTGCGTGGACAGGTTCTCCAAATACGCAAAGTTCATCCCCTTGCCAGAGGTGGCTAGGGTACCGGCTGTGAGAGCAGCCTTCTCTGAAGGGTGGGTCACACACCATGGACCGCCCACCTCTATTGTCAATGATCGTGACCTCAGGTTTTGCAGCGATGAGTGGCAGTCCTACTGCAAGGACTATTTGCACTCACGTCTGGACATGACTTCTGGTCATCATCCTGAAGCCAATGGGTTGGCTGAGGTGATGAACCAAGTCTTATTCCAGCTGCTGCGTCCTGTCATCTCTCCAGATCAACAGGACTGGGATCTTCACTTGGCGAGGGCACAACTCATGTATAACATGTTTGTCCACCCCTCGACAGGGTTCAATCCCTACCGGTTACACTGGGGACGTGAACCACGCCAGCCTCTCGATGATATCATCGACAAGGCTAAGCCTGATCTGACGCCAGGCACTGCAGAGTTCGCCAGACGCTATCGTCTGGATGTGGAAAGAGCCCGCGCGAACTTGTTCAAGGCCCAAAAGGCCATGATTGAGCAAGCCAATCGCCACAGGCGGCCTTCCCCCATCCGTACTGGTGATCATGTTTGGGTGGCCAGCTCTGAGCTGTTGAGGGAGGAGGATATCTCCCCCAAGCTGTTGCCACGCTACTTGGGTCCGTGGCAGGTCCTAGATACAGTGGGCGCTGACCCTTTCGGCCCGTCGTATGTTATCGACGTCCCGCTGCATCTACGTACCTATCCGGTCTTCCATGCATCGAAGCTGCTGCCTTTTACGCCAACTGATGCATTCCCTGACCGGCCCCCTCAATGGGGCCCACCAATCCCTGGCAAGGGATATGATGTGGTGGCCATTGAGGATGAGTGGGGCACAGGCCCCGACCGACAGTATCTTGTCAGGTTCGCTTTTCAGCCCCCTTCTGAGAACCGGTGGTTCTACAGAAGAGACCTGATCAAGACAACAAAGTCTGTTGTATTGCGCTATGAGGCGGCTCAGAAGGATAACCTTCGCCGTTCACCTCGTCTGCACCCCTAGCTCGGAGGTCCTCGCTCCCGGGGAGGGTAAGCCTGCAATGACTTGCTGATTTCTGCTGCTGAGTTTGGAAGCGAGGCTGTACATTAACCCAGTAGGTTAGATTCGTAATTTTATTTGGTTGAGGGCTAACCGAGAGACCTGCCTGTAAGGAAATTCATGAGGGACAGATCTGCAAATCCGGGGAAATACAGGCCCGGTACTAACCGAATTCCTACAGCTACCCTAACTGCCTATAGTAGGCCCGGGCTACCACTAGGACAGACAGGCCCTAAGCGGCCTATACAGTTAGACGGTCCGATAGCCTATAGCCGGGTCCGGTAGAGGCCGAGAGGCCGAAACAGCAATGGTACCGGTCGGTCAGTCAGTCCGGTCTAGGTCTAGGGAGTCTATAGATAGGCTAGGCCCATCGGTTCAGGACTTTTGGCAGTTCATTTCTCGCGAGCAGCGTTGGAGAAGCCAAGCAAGTTGGTGGCGGTACCTCTCTACAGGCGGCATCCTGGGACGCACCGCAACAGCAGCCATAGCCGGCCCTCTCTGAGTCTGCCATAGCTGGGGCATCCTCAGCGCATCTACCCCTGGGGGTATCTGCGTATGGCCGGGCTGTATTGAGGCTCTACAGTGGTGATTCGTGGGTGGTGGCAGCCATAGCTGCCTGTTCCTTCGTCAGAGTTGTTCCTCGGCACTGAAGACTTCATCGCAAGACCTGTTCTTCATCAGGGTGGTTGGCGCTGGCCTTTGGAAGGCTGTCCTGATGCAGCGCTACTAACTGGGTGTAGGATAGAGAGTGGGGTGTGAGTTCTGAGTGTGGCGAAATACTGGAACAAACTCTGTTACGATAATTGTGTGAGTGGTTCATCATCAGTGACAGTTTCAATTGTGATCTTCGCAGGTTCTTTCTTGTGATTGGTTGTTGGGAGTTGTGTCAGAGAGTGAGAAACACTATGTGTCTTCTCCCCTGCTGTGCATAATTGTCTTCCACTGTTTATCCTCACCTGTGTGCAGTGTGGACTTTGTCTCCTCTCTCCCCTTCTCTTATGCATGTATGGGCACGTGTGAGATTGTCTGTGTGAGTGGCGAGAAAATCCATCAGACAACCAAGTTCATAACACGTGTCTCAGAGGCAGAAGTCACAATCCACAGTCAAAACCATATGCTAAAATCGAAAAGTCATGACTCAAAGGCCCAAGCAGCAGCAGACCCATGAAAATTCGGGAAGGTTCTAGGCCTTGACATTCGAAAGCAGACAGGCCTTGGGGATGTGGTATCGGGACCCAGCCAGGCCCCAAGAAGCAGAGGCTGGCACGAGTTGTAGTGCAATGCAAGACTACTAGAGGACTGGCCAGCCTCCCATTCGAGCAGATTGCTCATTCGCATGAAGTGTGGAAGTGCTGGTGCACTTGTGCGCTATTGTGAAGGGCAGAGCGCTGAAGCCAGAGTGCTGCACTAAGAGAGAGGGAGAGGGAGGAAGAAATTGCGCTGGCAGGGGAAAGGCAGCCATAGTTGCGCCAGTGCAGAGTGTTAGTATTAGACTTTAGAGGGTTAGTAGACATGTCAATGGGTGTATTCAGAGTAGATCCTTGAGCAGAGTTAGCGAGTGTGAACGCATGTAGGGAGAGAAGACACAGCGAGGACATAGCTATGGAGAAGACCAGCAAGGAGAAGATATTCATAAGAGAGAAGAGCAGTGGGGAGGAGATACTTACCTGAGAGCTTATGCTGGTTACTGGTTGCCTTTTGTATGGGCTGATGAGCATTGGTGACTTTAACTCTTATTGCTCTTGTGCAAGGAAGATGAGCGATAGCGAACTTCAGCAATCAAACAACATCATACACATAAGACCAGATAGTTGTGACCTCGAACCAACAGCAGAATCGCATCACGTTTTTCACCAAATAAGAACACACCAAGAGCTCATAATTGACAATGCTGAAATAGTCTCATCATCATCATCATCAACGAAGAACCAATGTTGATATCCTATCTTGCGCTCGGCGCCCAGACTACAGATGGCAGATCCTATCTAGCCTATACTACAATGCCAAAGATGACGACAACAGCTTCACCGAAGTACGAGCAGATAGCGGCCAATGCCGCACGCTTCCAGCACCAGGTATGTCTCTCGCTTCACTCACAACCTCGTTCCCCAACACACAGATGCCACATGCACCCAAGGACCACCCTGCGCCACACCCAGCTTACAGCAGCGCAACTCGGCTATGGGTGCCTGCTCCTTCCTGCTCGCCCGTGAGCGCGTGAGCGCTGGCCAGCAAATAGCGCAGCAGCGCTTGCGCAGCATGCAGCCAGCACCCGAATGCCAAATGAGGAGGCAGGTCCTTTGCTATATGGAAATGGCCTGCCTGCTTGCTATCCCAGGCTGCGCTGGGCCTTTCCCAAGAAGCTTCCGGTAGGCCCCGGTAGGCTGAGGCCCAGTCCGTACATCACAGGCCCTGGGCCTGTAGTGGTTGCTCGCGCCCAACTGTCAACGGCCTGTGTTAGGCCCACATCCCGAATCCAACCCAGGGCCTGCCTTCGATACATTCACACAGGCTGCCCAGGGTGTGGGTTCCTTCAACCAACTGGCGCTGCGCAACTGCCTGAATTTCCTGAGTTGCGTGGCGACCAAAATAAGGGCCCTTAGGCCCTCGTCGAGCCTGCCTTCACTTAGGGCGGCCGACGTGCTGCATGGTAGGACCAAAAAGGGGGCTCATCGGGGCTTCAGCCTCACATTCCCTCCTCCATAACTTTGGTAGTCCTATGAGAAGTTCAGTCTTCGATAACCTGGCGCTTTCCCTTCTGCAAAGATTTCTCGTAATGTGCTACGACTTGAGGAGCGTTCTGCATGAGTTCCTCCCGGGTGAACCAGCGGTCCTCCTTTGGATCAGTATGATGTCGGAACCGAACGTGGAACTGCAGCTTCGGCTTCGGAGGACGTCCCCTGCCTGTGGGTCTGGGAACTGGCAGCTCCCTGTGATCCACTATGTCATCAATGTCCACTTCTCCATCCA